TTCTCATCACTATAAAGCTTCTGGTGTAATTTGAGACACAAAACTGATTAAAAGATAACTTTAAAAAAAAATGAAAGATGAATCCAGCAATTACACCTTCACGAAAGGGCATTCCTCTTAGTTTCTCTGCGGCTGTGAACAGATTCCAAGCCCTGGAAGACCGAACGTAGAAATCAACTTCCTACTTTCCAATAAAACTGGAAACAAAATTAATTTTGTACAGATAAGTGAAATGTGAAATAGTTAATAATCAAGGGAGGCATTCCTCACGAGTGAGCGAAAATGTACTTTCATTTCTTTTCTTCTTTTCGGTAGCTCACCAGCTGAAGCGCAGGAATAAAGAACAGCACAGTTGAGTTTTCTCCCCTGGTGTCAAGTATATTTTAATAATTAATACTCCCTTAACTCACTGAGATGAAAAAGACCTAGGATTCAGCTCAGACCAAAGCAGAGTTTGCACCTGCTCAGCTCAGGGCCTGGATTCCCTAGGCTCTTCAACTAGGGTTCCCACATTAAATAAAATACAAGATACCTGTTCATTTGACTTTCAGATAAACAATGAATGCTTTTAGTGTAAGTACATCCCATATCTTGTATCTTGCTGTCCTATCTCCATTAAAGATCCCCCCCCCCCCATCTTCTACCTGGATCAGATGGTCTCCTGAGAGTACACAGAGGAGAAAGGAGAATGCCTTCCTTCCATGCCTAGACACACACACACACACACACATACACATGCACACACGCACACATGCACGCACACACTGCTTCAGCTCCAAGTTTCCCCTCTGCTACCTCATCATCCATTTCCAGGATTATCTTCTCCCACTTCCTAACACTGTCTCCTCCTCAGGACTGTTTTGTCTGAGAAGACACATGGCTGAATGCTTAAATCACTGCTGTGCTCAGACATACAGCTCTGTACTAAGTCATTTCTGACCAAGATCGGGTAAAATTTTCTTAGACGGGGCGTGAGGAAGAGGTTCCTAACGTGGGGTGGGAATTCTCAGATGCCAACTTCTCTACTACCATGTCATGTCACTAAAAGGAGTCAAAATCACACCAGAGATTATTCTGATAAAATGAAAAATGCCTGGTGTGATTTAGGAAATTCTGAGAGTTAAGCATTGAGCTTCAATAAGAGAAGCAGGCTGTTCTGTACTTTTATAGAAAAGGGGAAGGACATTTCTCCATTTCTGATGTTTTCTGAAAAAAGGAAAAACATTAGATGGCCTTGCTCTCTGACTACTGGTAATATCTCCTGGAGATATCTTCGAAAAGCAGATGACTTTTTTTCAATTCTGTTTTTTTTTCTGTAGGAATATATCTTAGGGCAGTCAAAACCTGAGTGCTGGAAAGCAGATAGTTTAAATATATAGCCACAGCTTAGAATGGCATATTTTATGTTTCATAAATCTTTATAGGTAATCATCCTAGGTGATGTATTTCCTAGGATATTCTTGTTACTTAAGGAGACTTTCATCATAAAAGAAGTTAAATATGGTGGTGTGTCCTACCTACTGACTTTTAGAGTGAGCATTCTAAATGTCAGCCAGTTGAGGGGAAGGAAGGTAGCAGTCGACAGAGTTGAAAACTTTTGCTTTGATTTTTCTCTGGGTCTTTTTCCAGGGTCGAGACCTATTAACAAGTCATATGAATTTCTCAGTGGAGTTCTTCTGGCTCTAAGAGGCTGCCAGGTCTCCAGCTACTTGGTGACAAAGTTATGGTAGAAAACCACAGAAGGGATGGAGGTAGAATTTAGTCCCCAGTCCTCTCTCTCCATCGTTTGACTGGGTTGAATCTTAGCAATATTTTTTCTGTTACAGTTTGTTATAAGATACTGAGTATAGTTCCCTGTGCTATACAGAAGGACTGTGTTGTTTATCTATTTGATATGTGGTGGTGTGTATCTGCTAATCCCAAACTCCTAATCTATCCCTCCTTCCCCCCACTCCTACTCCTTCCCACTTTGGTAACCATAAGTTTCTTTCCTGTGTCTGTGAGTCTGTCTCTGTTTTATAAATAAGTTCATTTATATCATTTTTTAGATTCTACATATAAGTGATATCACATGATATTTGACTTTGTCTGACTTAGTATGATAATCTGTACATCCATCCATGTTGCTGCAAGTGATGTGGTTTCCTTCTTTCTTTATGGCTGAGTAATATTCCGTTACATATACATAAAATATATATATTCATATCTTCTTTATCCAGTCATCTGTCAATGGACACTTAGGTTGTTTTCATGTCCTGGTTATTGTAAATAGTGCTGCTGTGAATATTGGGGTACATGTGCCTTTTTGAATTAGAACTCCCTCCAAAAATATGCCCAGGAGTGGGATTGTTGGATCATATCTTAACTCTTTTTTTAGTTTTTTAAAGAACTTCCATTCTGTTCTCCACAGTGGCTGCACCAATTTACATTCCCACCAACAGTGTGGAAGGGTTCTCTTTTCTCCACACCCTCTCTAGCATTTATTATTTGTAGACTTTTTAATGATGGCCATTCTCTTTTTTTTTAAATGTTCATTGAAGTATAATTGATTTACCATGTTGTGTTAGTTACTGGTGTACAGCAAAATGATTCTGTTTTATATATATATTCTTTTCCATTATGGTTCCATTATTTATTACAGGATAATGAATATAGTTCCCTGTGCTATACAGTAGGACTTTGTTGTTTATGTATTTTATATATAGTAGTTTGTATCTGCTAATCCTGGAATCCTAATTCATCCTCCCCACCCCCTTACCCCCTTTGGTAACCATGTTTTCTATGGATGGCCATTCTGGCTAGAGTGAGGTGATACCTCATTGTAGTTTTGATCTGCATTTGTCTAATAATTAGTGATATTGATCAGGTGCCTGTTGGCCATCTGGATGTCGTCTTTGGAGAAATTTCTATTTAGGTCTTCTGCCCATTTTTTGATTGGGTTGTTGGGTTTTTTTGGTTATTGAGTTGTATGAGCTGTTTGTATATTTTGGAAATTAATCCCTTATCGGTTGCATCATTTGCAAATATTTTCTCCTATTTTGTAGGTTGTCTGTTTGTTTTGTTTGTGGTTTCCTTTGCTGTACAAAACCTTACAAGTTTGATTAGGTCCTATGTTTTTCTTAGCAATTCTTTAGCTGAACTTGTCACTGTCACAGTGCACCAGGGAATCACAAGATAATCTCTGCCTGCTTTCCAGTAATACAGAGGTTGATGTTACTGTAGATCAGTGTATCCCTTACTCTCCTGCCAATTTGGGTCATCTGCACCCTTCTAGGAGAGTCCAGAAGTTCAAAAGTTTACAGAAATACTCCCAAAGGTATGTCATTTCATCCTCTTTCCCAACATTTGCAACCCCCAGAGTACCCAAGAGTGAATTTTAGAAAGATATCACAGCTCTTTTTCCCAAGCAAGAATTAAGTATCAGTCAACCAGCTTTCATATCAATTATAGGACAATGAAAAAGACTGTGTGACAATTTGAAAAGCAATTTAAAGGGTAGGGGGAAAAAGGCAACATTTCTGCATTTGAGGCCACCTGTTATTAGAATCTCACATGGGTGTATTTTGAAAAAAAAAACTCACAAAAAGAACGATAGAGGGCAAATAATGCAACAAGAATTCCAAGTGAACATAAAATTTGCAGTTTAGTGAAATTTTCTTGGAATATATCAGAGATCTACATACAGTAGGAGCATGAAGCAAAGCCAGATCAGTTCAGTGAAATGTAGCATTCCCTGAAACCAAAGACCTACCTGGAACTTAATTACAAAAGACAGCAGACTTAAGAGCCACAAGAAATCTCCTGAGAGCAACACTGCTGGTGAAAATCATTTTCTCAGAGAATCCATATATTCATTTTAATGGTTTAAAATGATTCATGCACTGGTGGAAGAAAGACATGGAACTTGTTCCCATGTTTTTCTTTTCACTTCCACAATCAAACAAAAATGCTCTGTAATTGGACCTTCAAAGTTAAATCTTTGGATAGGCAGTCTGAAAGCCTCAGATAATTTCATCAAGGGGTTTCGGAAACAAAGAAATCTCTGAAGGCTCCAGGGTCCAGATTTTTAAAAGGGCTTATGGAATAAAACAGCATTTTGAAAGAAACAGATAAAAATTGGTATCCAATATGAAATGCGGTACAGAATTATTTATATATGTCACCATGTTCTGTAGCTTTCAGCAAAGCTGACTGTAGTTTCTTAAGAGATTTCAAATTAATCCCCCATAGAAGGCCCAAGTAATATTCCCCAAAGGTTCTATAAACCTTTGTAGAAATGATATTAAAGAAATAAAGAAGAATAAAAATATTGAATTGTTAAGTCAGTGAAATATTAAATAGAACAAGTAACATTAGTTGTTGCTATATTTAAGTTTATGTCTATGAGAATAACTATCCAGAAATTAAGAAGAGTGAGTAAAATAGAGAGTAGAGCCTAAGAGCAGAGGATTTAGCACTTGTCTCAAGGGTCACAATAAATACAGTTTAATAGCTTGTTGTGTCAGGACTTAGTCAAAGAATCAGAAAAAAAAAGTTCACAATTAATTTTGAAGCCTGAACATCTGTCCCAGGCCTGGCATATAAGGTCGAGGAAGTTTTAGACATAATCCTTCCAGACAACTGAGGTCCTTTTTAGACAGTGAGTGTTACAAATATCAAAACTGCTGTGGAGCCTATAACCTTCCAATACCAAATACTCAGTGCAGAACTGGGAATTCCCAAATCTACCCTCACTTCTGATGCCAATTGAGAGTGCTGAGGTCCAAGACTCTGGTTTGATAATTCACTAGAAAGACTCACAGAATTCATTTAAATCTACTTCATTCACAGTTACAGCTTATGACAGTGAAGAGATACAAATAAAAAGCAGCCAAGGGAAGAGGCATATGGGGCAGAGTCTAGGAGATTCCAAACACAGGCTCTCCCTTGGTGGAGCCTTGGATAGTGATAACTCCTCTCAGTGATGATGTGTTCCAACTGGGGAAGCTCATCTCAGCCTTGATGTTCAGAGTATTTGTTGAGGCTTAGACATGGAGACATGGTTGAGCACATGCATGGCTGACCTTAGTCTCCTGCCCCTCCAGTGGTCAAGGTGGCCCAAAGCCCCACCATACATCACACTGTTATCACGGATTATCTTACCACAGCCCCCAGATAAACAGAGATACTCTAATCATGTAGGATATTACAAGGTTTAGAGATTACCTCCCAGGAGCTGAGGGCAAAGATTAGAACCCCCAACCCCAGCCCTTTGGATAATCTTCCACGGCACACTCATATTAAAAAAGTTGTACATATGAACTCTACGCTCCTTACTGGAATGACGTGTCTGCAAACACTGTGACTATATTAGCCCAACACATCCTAAACCATACAGAAATGTTCTGCTGACGAATTATTTTGGTTGGCTATGGCCTTACTTCATCTGCACTTTTGGAAGGCAACAGTTTTATTCAAGATGCTTTGGGTTAGAAGACAGCTTCCTGTTCTTCTCTGCTGATGAGAATTTTTCCTGCAGCATTGTTGGGATGTCCAATAGTGAGGACTCATCCCCCAGCTTATTCTTCTCTAGACTACTAATCAATGTAGATTCTTGTTAACACATCTACTACCTCCAACAAGAACCTTTTTTCCTCTTTGTACTTCTTAGAATGTGATTCTCAATTTGCACAATTTTCCAAGGAACATTTCCTAGAATTTACCTGGAAACTGGTTCTTGCTTCCTTATTACAGCTGGAAGAATGTACTTATATTTAGGCTAATTTTGTTACAGGGTTTCATTGGTTTAGTGGAATTGATTGCAGAGAAAACCATCAAGAATGATATACCAGCCATTCAATCATGAAATGGTTTCAGGGTACTGGTATGTTTTCCTAGAAAATTGAATTCTCTGAATAATAGCTAGAGTCTATGTCGGATAAATGAATCAGACTTTGGTTTCAAATTTTTTATATCCAATCACTAACAGAAGTTTCACAAAACAAGCAGAACTTCCAATAAGATTTTTTTAAACATGATGTAGATTTATACCACTCACTGAAACTTTCAGAAAACAATTTTCTACACATTTTAACACAGTAACTTTTATTTTACTTTTTTAAATGAAAAGTTTGGAATTTTGCAATGTTCCAATATAAGGCAAAGTAGGACATAAATTGTTGCTCAGCCTAAAGCATATGAATAATGTGGCCAAAGAATCAGAAACAACTGAAGTGTCTCATGTACAATATTCATATGGATAAATATTATGTTTAACATCATTTGTGCATACTAATTCTGTGAAATTTTTCATAAGGCTTTAAATCACTTAAAGCATTGATTCAAGTTGTAACTCTAAAATGTTCAACAGTCCAGAAAATTCAAATAATGTTGATACTAAGTATATAAAAATGAGTTTTATGATGCTGAATCATAAATTAGTAAGTATAAGTCCTTTATGTCACCCACAAAAATCAGATTTTATACTCACATAATATGTAAATGCTTACTTTATGAAATAGATACTTAATCTATAACTACTAAGTTTCCACTATTTAAAAAAAGGACCATTATTTTAACTAGAAATTGCTAATTTTAAAATGTCATGAATTCAATGAAAAACTGGGATGAATATAAATTTCTACATGCACTATAAACCCATTTTACAAGCACAAAATTGGGGAAGTCCTGGCTTAAGAGAAATTTTATGGAAAAGCTCAGTTTATTCAACCATAAATCAATCAGTCATGACCCAAAATGTAATATAATAGTTTTAAATCTTAGCCTGCCTTGATAGAAGCATTGTATCCACAGCAAAGCTGCACTCAGTTTTTGAGCCATTGGCATAACAACTCCATACTATGTACAAGCAAATACCACTTTTTCATAGAATCACAGTTAAAGCAGAAGGTATCTAATGGAATGCAATCAAGATAAGTCTGAAAATCATCTAACATAGGGAACTTTGTAAGGAACCATAAATGTTCAGCCTAAAGCAGTGGTTTGAGTATGAAAGGTTTGTGTCAGTTATTGTTAAATATGTCTAAAGTGCTTTTCTTTTAACACCTAGAATTCTATGTGTGTTGAGAATAAAGCTGTAAGATTGATACATGGATGTTAGAAAGAGGCATATTTCAGCCTAATAAGAAGGCAGGGTTTCCAAGTGTCTAAATACATACCTGCTTTATTACATTGAGACTTGTCATGGATGGGCTGAAAGTTCCATGTCAGAAATGCTGGGGAAGATGGCAATAGCCAGATCTGTCTTCTCTTTCAGGTCTCAGATCTGTTCACTCTATCAGTAGAATTAGATAAAAACAGGGTTTCTCAGGGATCAGAGCTGCAAAACACTGTTCTTTTCTAACTTCTTTATAAGCACTCTGAATGAAAGGGTAGATACTCAAAATTATGTATGCTAAGTAAAGAATTCTTAGCTTTTGCACACCTCTCAGCCCCACCCACAGTCTGCCTAGGAAAAAGGGTTTTTATCTTTGTCCTTCCCTTAAGGACATTAGATCAGTGTACAGATCTAGTCAATAAAGCCAACGCTGTGGTTGACACTATTAACAAGGCAAATGTAAACAACAGAGAAAACTTGAGAAAGCTTGATTCAATCCTTTCATTTCCACAATATCTAGAATCTACATATCAGAAGAGAAATAATGAAATCTAGAAGGAGATGACTAAGAGGCCACAGGGATAAAGTGATGGTCACCTGAGACCTTGCTAAAATACTGACCTGTCAGCCCTGTGAAGAGCTCACGGAGGCTATATAAAAATGCTTAATACCGCTTGCTATTTGGATGATGTGAACATAAATTCCAAAAGGTTAGAACAGTGTGAATCTCTTTAAAACTTTTAATAAGTTAAGTTAAAGACAAATAAAAAGCACATTTTTTACAAACCTCGATGACTTAGTAAATAAATAATATGTGCAATAAATCCCCAAAGGATTTCTTGGTGTTTGTGAAAGACAGAGTCACAGTGCTAAGAGACACTGAGATGCTCCCCAGCTCTGTGACTGAGCCATGGAGGACAGTCTTGCCTGCCTCCAGCTGATACCATCTCCTCTGGCCTGAGTAGACCATTGTCCCTACTGAAGGATGACACATCTCATCTTACCAAAAAATGTTGCTCCCGGCAACTTTTGATGGTTCTATTTTGTTGGACGGTCTCTGTGTTGAGATTTGAATCCTCACCAGAATCTGACTTGAATTTTAGCTAATATCACAAGAGAGCTGATATAAGAAAATCAGATCCAAGATCTCAGTCACATTGACACAGCTGCATTTTTCTCTCTCTTACCTTCTCCTAGGTTGTAATTGTAGAAGCCTCTCCTCTCCAAGGTACCTTGAGTACCTTTTTCTCCTGGCCCTGTATGTTGGGAAAAACCTGAAAGACCTCTAAGCATTATCATGTTTGAATATCTCAGCAAAATTGTCATCAGCTAAGTAGCTAAGCTTCCTCCTAAAACTGAAATGTGTGCATACTCTTTCTAAAAGCTTCTAAATCAACTTCTCTTTGTCGGGTACAGTGTTTCCCTTTTTCTATATGGGGATTTAATGTTCTCCATCCATCTCTTCAGACTTCGATTTCAATCAAGGTGCTTGTATCTCTAAAGTGTGTATGTGAAAGCACTTTTCTAGAATTCTTACAGGTTTTATAAAGTTAACTGAAAATACCAAGTCTGCATCCCTTTGCCAGGTAAAGCCTTGACATAGCATTCTTCAGCAGGATCCTCTTGGTGCTGGAGACAAGAATCCAGCACATGTGCCACATGTTCGCACAGCAAGTACAAGGTGTCATGCTGGAATTTGCAAATGTGTGCCTTGTGTGCTGTCTGGGTCATTACTGAGAGACCTGTGGGGAAAAAAGTATATTTTCAGTATTTTTAGATCTTGGTTTGTTTGTTTGATTCCCTTACAGACTTAAGCTGTTTTCTTTATTCTGTTTTATGAAACTTCATTTAATTTTGTTGATGAACATTCAAATATCTATGACTTTCACATATTAAATCAGATGTCATAGCTGTATGCAATTTCAGAGCTGCTATAGTTTCTCTATATGTATTCTCCATTATGAATAAAGCAGTAAGTATAAGTAATAATTCAACTGCTTTGTGGGTTGACAGTTCCATATTGAAACTTGTGCCGAAAACAAGCTACTTAAAAGAAAATTGTTTCTTCCTGTATTTCCTTCCCAGGAAGTGGTATAGCATTGTACTTGGATGGTTGCAAATCTTGTGATGAAAGTTAGTAAATTTAAACTCTATTATTCCAGAGATATACTTTTAACGTTCTGTAGCAGGGTTATGAAATTGGATTTTAGATTCTCTATTAAACTGTAACACCACAGTCGCAGTGAAGCACTTGAATCCAAATTGTATGTTAGAGAGAATGTCAGGAAACCACAGAATATACTCTTCTTATTTTCTGTTGTTACAGTAACATTTCTCAAGATTTTTGGTGAGTGTGTACGTGGTATATCCTATACATGTGAGCTTTTGCTAACAGAGACACTGTTATTTAGTAACAATTTTCAATCCAGAATTAATTCCTCTTTGGTCATTGCAGGCTAGAGCATTGCTGAGGATAAAATTTGTATTAAATCAATGTGGATTCAGATATGCCAGGATGATGAATTCTAGACTTGGCACAGTTCAGTATTCCTTTCTTCAGCAAATATTTATTCAAAAACAGCCTTGAGATATATTTTGTGTCAAAGTGAAAAATTATTTCCCCACAAGATTGGGACGGCACTTTGCCTTCACCTTCAATGGCACATAATCTTTCCATGGAACCAACGGAAAGATTACCTCATCTTGCCTGTTGCTTCCATTAATCAGTGTCACACACTGTCTAATGCTTTAGAGAAGAGTATCTTGATTTTTCTCTTTCCAGGGGACCTTTTGTGATCATGTGAGACTGAACCACTTATTCCAGAAGGCCATTTTTAAAACATTTCCATTAATTTCAGAACGTTCAAAGATAGGGTTAAATATTCTGTCATGTGATAATAGAGTTTCTTTTTTTTTTTTTTTTTACCCCTTTGAAGAATTTTATTTTCAGGTCTCTCTTTGACCATGTAGTCACATTTTGATCTCACACGAGTAAAAAATTATCCTCCAATTTTAAGATACCTCATAAAGCTGAAAGGCAAAACCCTGAAGAGATTTTCACTATCCTAGTTGAACTGCAACAAAAATGGTAATGTAAAATAGTTAGAAATGACTTAATAATAAATGTTCAGAATCTATAGGTTAAAAATGGTAAAATCTTCAAGACTAAATATTATAAATATATTAGTTACTCCCAAAGTAATTTATAATTTATTGCCACTCTTATCAGGACTCCACTGTTTAGTTTTGTTTTTCTTATATTTTTATTGAAGTATAGTTAGTTTATAAGGTGTCAGTTTCTGGTGTACAGCACAGTGGTTCAGTCATATAGGAACATACATAGATTCGTTTTCACATTTTTTTCCATTATAGGTTACTACAAGATACTGAATATAGTTCCCTGTGCTATACAGCATAAACTTCTTGTTTATCTATTTTATATATATTAGTATCTTCAAATCTCCAAGTCCCAGTTTATCCCTTCCCACCTCCTTCGCCGCCCCTGGTAACCGTGAGTTTGTTTTCTATGTCTGTAAGTCTGTTTCTGTTTTGTAAGTAAGTTCGAATCTTTTTTTCTTTTTTTGAAGATTGCACATATGAGTGCTAGCATATGGTAGTTTTCTTTCTCTTTCTGTCTTACTTCACTTAGAATGCTGTGCTCCAGGTCCATCCATGTTGATGCAAAGGGCATTATTTTATTGTCTTTTATGGCTGAGTAGTATTCGATTGTATGAATATACCACAACTTCTTTATCCAGTCATCCCTCGATGGACATTTGGGTTGTTTCCATGTCTTGGCTATTGTAAACAGTGCTGCTGTGAACATTGGGGTGCATTGTCTTTTTGAATTAAGGTTCCCGCTGGATTTATGCCCAGGAGTGGGATTGCTAGATCGTATGATAAGTCTATTTTTAGTCTTTTGAGGAATCTCCATACTGTTTTCCACAATGGCTGCACCAAACTGCATTCTCACCAACAGTGTAGGAGGGTTCCCATTTTTCCACAGCCTCTCCAGCATTTATCATTTGTGGACTTTTGAATGATGGCCATTCTGATTGGTGTGACGTGATACCTCATTGTAATTTTGATTTGCATTTCTCTGATGATTAGCAATATTGAGCATTTTTTCATGTGCCTATTGGCCATTTGTATGTTCTTCACTGGAGAATTCCTTGTTTAGGTCTTCTGCCCATTTTTGGGTTGGGTTGTTTGTTTTTTCTTAAGTTGTATGAGCTGTTTATATATTCTGGAAATTAAGCCCTTGTCAGTCTGATCTTAAGCAAAACAGAAAGACAATCTACAGTTTGCTAATGGTTTCCTTTGCTATGCAAAAGCTTATAAATTTAATTGGGTCCCATTTGTTTATTTTCGCATTGATTGCTATTGCTTGGGTAGACTGCCCTAGGAAAACATTGCTGAGATTTATGTCAGATAATGTTTTGCCTACGTTTTCTTCTAAGAGGTTTATCGTGTCTTGTCTTGTTTAAGTCTTTTAGCCATTTTGAGTTTATTTTTGTGTATGGTGTGAGCAAGTATTCTAACTTCATTGATTTACATGCAGCTGTCCAGTTTTCCTGACACCATTTGCTGAAGAGACTGTCTTTACTCCATTGTATGTTCTTGCCTCCTTTGTCAAAGATTAATTGACCAAAAGTTTGTGCGTTTATTTCTGGACTCTCTATTCTGTTCCATTGATCCGTATTATCTGTTTTTGTACCAATACCATTCTGTTTGGGTTACTGTAACCTCTGTAGTATTGTCTGTAGTTTGGGAGGGTTATTCCTCCAGCTTCATACCTTTTCTTCAGTAATGCTTTGGCAATTCTGGGTCTTTTGTGATTCCATATAAATTTTAGGACTGTTTGTTCTAGTTCTGTGAAAAATGTCCTGGGTAATTTGATAGGGATTGCATTAAATCTTTAGATTGCTTTTCACCATGGAGTATTATGCTGGCTGTAGGTTTGTCATAAATACCTTTTATTATGTTGAGCTATGTTCCTTCTGTACCCACTTTGGTAAGAGTTTTTATCATAAATGGGTGTTGAATTTTATCAAATGCTTTTTCTGCATCTATTGAGATGATCATGTGGTTTTTGTCCCTTCTCTTGTTGATGTGGTGTATCACATTGATAGATTTGCATATGTTGAACCATCCTTGTGTCCCTGGGATGAACCCAACTTGATCATGGTGTATGATCTTTTTTATGTGTTGTTGGATTCTGTTTGCTAACATTTTGTTGAGTATTTTTGCATCTATGTTCATCAACGATATTGGCCTATAGCTTTCTTTTTTGGTGTTGTCTGTGTCTGGCTTTGGTATCAGGGTGATGGTGGCTTCATAGAATAAGTTTGGGAGTACTCCCTCCTCTTAAATCTTTTGGAAGTGTTTGAGAAGGATTGGTATGAGCTCTTTCTATGATAGCCTGGACTTCTGTTTGCAGGGAGAATTTTTATGGCTGATCCTATTTCACTTCTAGTGATTGGTCTCTTCAAGTTGTCCAATTTATTGCCATCTACTTGTTCATAGTTTTCTCTCACGATTTTTTGTATTTCTGTGGTGATGGTTGAAATCTCTCTCCATTTTCATTTCTTATTTTGTTTGTGTCCTCTCTCTTTTCTTCTTGGTGAGCCTGGCCAGAGTTTTGTCAACTTTGTTTACTCTTTTGAAAGAAACAGCTCTTGGTTTGATTGGTTTTTTTCCATTGTTTTTTTAATCTCTATTTTATTTCTTCCCTTCTGCTGAATTTAGGTTTTGTTTGTTCTTTTTCTAATTCTTTTAGGTGGTAGGGTAGGTTGTTTGAGATTGTTCTTTATGAGAAAGGCCTGTACTGCTATGACCTTCCTTCTCAGGACTGCTTTTGCTCCAGCCTACAGATTTTGTGTGGTAATGTTTTCATTGTCATTTGTCTTAAGGTATTTTGTAATATCTTCTTTGATGTCATTGTTGACCCATTGGTTTTATAGTAGTATGTTGCTTAGTCTCCATGCTGGCATTCTTCTCATTTGTTTTTCTAGTTTCATGCTATTGTGGTCAGAGAAGATGCTTGGAATAATTTCTATCCTCTTAAATTTGTTGAGGCTTCTTTTGTGCCTGAGTATGTGGTCTATCCTATTTTGTGCCTGAGTATGTGGTCTATCCTAGAGTATATTCCATGAGCACTAGAAAATAATGTATATTCTGGTTTTGGGGGGATGTAATGTCCTAAAAATATCAACCAAGTATAACTGTTTTATTGTGTCATTTAGAATCTCCCTTGCCTTACTGATTTTCTGTCTGGAAGACCTGTCCAATGATGTTAGTGGGGTGTTAAAGTCTCCTACTATTATTGTATTCTTTTCTGTCTGGAAGACCTGTCCAATGATGTTAGTGGGGTGTTAAAGTCTCCTACTATTATTGTATTCCCATCAATTTCTCCATTTATATCTGTTGGTATTTGTTTTATATAGATCCTATTATCCTATATTGGGTGCACATATGTTAACGAGTATAATATCTTCATCTTGTGTTGCTCCTTTGATCATTATATAGTGTCCTTCTTTTTCTTTATGGCCTTTGTTTTAAAGTCTATTTTGTCTGATACGAGTATTGCTACTCCCACTTTCAATCTAGTGGGTCTCTTGTAGGTAGCATATTGTAGGCTTTTCATTTATTATTCAATCTGCCACTCTTTTGATTGGAGCATTTAGTCCATTGACATTTATAGTAATTATTGATAGATGTGTGTTTATTGCCACTTTGAACTTTGTAGTCAAGTTGATTTGGTGTTTCTTCTTTGTTCCCTTCTTTTCCTTTTCTTTCTGTCATTTGATAATTTTGTATTAGCTTTGCTTCTTTTTGGGTTTTGTGACTCTAAATGCTTTGTTTTTCCTTGCCTGTGAAATTGTTTCTCTTGCTTTCTAAAGGATAACCTTGCTAGATAAAGTATCCTAGGCTGCATCTTTTTTTCATTCAGGACTTTGAATATATCTTGCCACTCCCTTCTGGCCTGTAGTGTTTGTGTAGAGAAATCAGCTGAGAGCCTTATGGGGGTTCCCTTGTAAACTCACTCTTTGTTTTTCTCTTGCTGTCTTTAGGATCATTTCTCTTTAACCTTGGCCATCTTGATTATGTCTTGGTGTAGGTCTATCTGTGTTCTTCTTGTTGGGGACCCTCTGTGCTTCCTATACTTGGATGGAAGTTTTCAGTCATGATTTCTTCAAATACCTTGTTAATCCCTTTTGCTCTTTCTTCTCCTTCTGGGACCCATATTATGTATAGGTTGGCACACTTATATTGCTTTCATTAGTTTTTACTTGCTTTTCTGTCTGCTGTTCTGATTAGGTGACTTCTGTTATTCTGTCATCTAAGTCACTTACTCATTTCTCTGCATTATCTAGTCTGCTTGACTGCCTTTAGTGCTTTGATCACTCCCTTTTTGAAGTCATGATCTAGTAGACTATTGAGGAGGTTTATTTCATTGATTGTTTTTTTCAAGGAATTTCTCTTGGTCTTTTTAATTGGGAGTATCAGTTGTCTACTGTGGTCTTGAAGGGCTGTTTTATTTTTTGTTTGTTTTAATTTAAATAGGAGCATTCTGTACAGATTTTGTGATGGCTGTTCACCATGTCTTTCCTCTGTCTGTATGGGCTATTAGCTCTTTAATTGGGGGTGTGGTGATCAGAGCCTGCCCTGATAGTTGTTGTTGAGCTGGGCCTCCTTTTTTGTTCCATGGTTGTCACAGCCTTGACAGGGGTCTGGTCTACTCCCCTGTTGCTGGATTAGAGGCTTCTAGACCTGTTTCTGAGCTGTGGTGTCTGGTAGGCAGGAGATGTCCACTGGTAAGTGCCCTCTGTGGTGGTGTCTGTTACTTGTTATGTGGGCTTACAAAGCGCTCTTTGTTGATGCTGCCTTTGTCCTGTCCTTAGCTGTGGGAATGTTGGCCACATGCTCTGGTGTCCACCAGGTTCTGGGGCCCAGGAACCACCAGTGCACATCCGCCAATGTCAGGTGCTAGGACCCACCATAGGGAGAGTGCAGTCACAGCCTGAATCTGTGGTGCACCACAGGGTTAGCAGACCCCAGCCCCACACCTGCATACAGGACATTATGCTGGCCTGTTATTAATTATCCATACTCACCTCTGCCGTGTATCAGAACTCTGCTTACTGCTTGTTTGCCCTAGAGGCGTGGGTCCAGAGAGCAAATCCACCCGCTCTACCTGGGGCTGTAAACAAATCTCAGTCCCGCCTGGCCTGTGAAGTTACAGGGCTGCTGGGTGTGGATTCAGCTTTCAGCCCTGCCTCCGTGAGGGCTATGCCCAAGCCCCACCTCTCTTCCTGCAAGAAAACACCAACAATGGAGCCAAGTGGAGAAAGCAGCTATGGCGGGGCTGTGTTGTGCCCATCCCCACCACACCCCCCAACACTGTTCCTTTTTTATGTGGAGGTCCCAGGCTGTTCTGTTCCACACATGCCCTCCAGTCCCCTGAGACTTCCTCTGTGCAGTGAGCCCTCTGCTTTGCACAGATCTCCAGCAGCCAGTCCCGGCTTGTTCCTGCTGGCTCGAGTCTAGGGCCAAGGATCGCAGGGACCCTCACCCCCGCTGACCTCCCATGCTGTGCCCTCCCTGCAAGACCAGTCCCGCACCAATTTTTTTTTTTTCTTACTGGATTTTGTGAGAATTCTCCTGTATTTCAAAGCGAGAAACACTCTGCCGGAGTTCAGTCAGTGTTCTGTGTGATTCAGTGGGTTTGTAGACATAATTCTTGGTATATCGAGGTTCAACCCCCATGGGCTCCACTGTTTTGATTTTGGGTTTTTCTCCCTGAAGCAAGCACTTCCCAACGTTACTATTAAAGTCTCTTGGGAGAAAAATGGACATAAAAAGCTCAAAAAAAACTTTGAAACAAAAGAAGAATGAGGAACAGTGACGCAATGCCAACACGTCAGGACATTATACGGCACCATGCTCACAACAGTGTTGTATGGATTCAGAAATTAATAGAAACACCAAAAAAAAAAAGTTCAAAACAGTATTGATTAGGGTTTCTCTCTTGGGGATGAGTTTTGTTCTCTGTTGTGAGACGTATGCGAAAAACACTGTGAGAAAGACCATGATGCTCACCAAGTATCCATGTGCTCCTCTCCATTTCCCAGACTCCTTTGCAGTTGGGCTGGGGTCCTATAGTTAGATAAGGTCAATGAGATGTATCCAAGCTGCCCCCATACCTTTTTCTTTAAAACATCCTGCACAATCTCCCAGCTCTCTCTCCCCTTGAGGATGCGGACATCTCTTTCAGACGGTGGCTGTGATTTCCAACAGCCCGCATCTCTGTAGCACCCCTTCAAAGAAAGCACGTCGGCAGGCTGCCTAACCAACAGCCTGTAACAGATGCAAAGAATGACTATTTGCTGCATTAAAAAATCCTGATAGTTTTAAGAAAACATTAAAATTGATAACTATGTATTCCTGTGTTAGACAATCTTCATCTTATTTAAGTCTTAAACATGCGTTGACAGTTTCATTTCAAAATGATCAGTAAAAGAAGTTGCAATATATTTTGAAAAACCCAGCATGAATTACTTATCAAATCTCATGTTTAGGAAGAATGCTCTAAGCAAGAAAATAATAAAAATCATTTCTAAGAAAAGGAAGGCCAGATGATTGATAGTCTGTTCTTTACTAGGTTTTCCAGGGCAATTTTGACAACGATACTCACAGGAAAAACGTCATCGACCCTCCCATCTATGCTCGGCATATAAGAATCCTTCCTTGGTCCTGGTATGGGAGGATCACGCTGCGGTCGGAGCTGCTGGGCTGCACAGAGGAAGAGTGAGGAGACCCCCACATCCTGCACCCCTCCTGTTTCCCTAAAAGTCTCTCCATGGAATGACCTGTGCAAAATCTGTAGGAAACTGAATGGGATTTTTCATGAAAAAGTGCTCAAATTATGGTAGGCCACTAACTGTCTTCTTAAGGAGGTCTAAGCCTGCCTTTTCAATGGTTTAATTTGATTTTTATCGTTTAAATTTCTTAAGCAACATCACATTAACTGTGAACTACTTTTCTCATTGTTTTCTGACTTATTCATACTGGTTGAAGTATATTAGGGAAAGATAGTAGCACTCTTTTGATAGCAAGGGTAAAAATATCTCACAGTTACCAAACACAAGAGTTGTTAGAGCTTTTATAATCAATTCTTATAAAAGGAATACTGCAATGTTAGCAATAAGTTGTTTTTTCCTTCCATAATGACTCTATATTATCCTATTTCCCTGTGCCTACGGTGTTTAAACTGAATTCTGACGAAGAATCTAATGTGCAGTACTAACTGATACTGTAATTCTCATTTTACTTTCATTATTTTTAATCAGATTGTTTCTTTTTGTTCTATTCTATACACTGTATATTGCCTGAATAACTCCCTATTTTTCCTAATTGAGTTTTGTCCTATTACTCGCCTAAAAGAACTCATGCTTGTGTGTGTGTGTTTATATGTGTACACACACACACACACGGATGAAACGTGACTGAATATCAGTCAGTACATTGGTCATAATTAATTATCAGTAGGTTGAATCTGCAATTCTTTTGTTTTTGAAGGACGCTATAACTATTTAAATTTAATTTTCAAATACTTCCATTTTGCAAAATAAACAACAAAATTTCATTGATTCTTTAAAACAAAATGTAAACCTTTGTTTTACCAGCATTTACATAGCCTTATCGTTACTTTAAAATAATAGAATAAAATGTCTATTTAAAAATTTTTTAGCAAACAAATATTGACATAGTGCTGCATAACCAGGTCAAGCATACTCATCATTTCTTTGTTCATCTCTGCATTTCCTGTGAAACTAGAATTTTATTGAGGTTTGAAACTGGTGGTGGTTTCTCAGGAAAGCACAGTGGGTACATATTTGTGAGAAAAGAAGTATACTAATGACAACGCTGTCAACCATTTTCAAGATGAAAATTGATTTCTACTTATTTTGCTTCAAAGGTTCTGAAAAATAAGCAATTATCATCACAATTTGTTATTGATAATGGAGGTCTCATTGACAGTCTCTCAAATTAAAACTCACACTGCCTCCATGAAAGTCTTCAACATCTAATTTATAACCTTTACAAGTATTTGTTTTCTAAGGCTTAGACACAGAATTATTGGGGTTTAAAATTAAGGATCCTGGAAGAGAAAGTATGGTATGTGTACGAAACGTTGAGGTCCTGTGCAACACTGCTAAGTTCTTTTCTTTATTATTTGTGCTGCATAACAAAAGCCACTAGACTGTTACTGTCTTGTCTGTGTCCACGTGCTAACAGCATCTCTTAATGATGTATATATGGTGTTGTCTTCAATCATAGTGAAGAATCTAAAGAGAAAGTCAATCAATCATAATGGCATTTTTCAAAGATCAAACTACAGACTAGCTGGCCACATTTTTGTCCTATGCCCACACGCTTTCTAATTTAGGTTCTTATTATAAAAGTGTTGATTTGAAGTATCTGAAATGGTGATCAGTTTTTAGCATCTTTCAAAAACAAAACTTCCGTGTCATCAATATCACCTTTTTAAGAGAACTTTAAATTATGAATTTAAATATTTTTAATATGCTAAATATTAAAGTCATGTTACAAATAATGACTTAGGTCCAAAAATATACACAGACTTACTTCATAGCCAATGGCTCTTATTTCTTTAAAAATTTACTGTCCTACCAAATTCCTAGCCATTTTCCTTTGTACACTGTGCACAATTCTTGATCCTTAACAGAGTGTGTTTTTAAATTTTTGAGTAACTTTTTAATGCTTTACTTTCTCAAATTATTCATGGCTTCTTACAATGTTTTGAATTGTAGTTTACTGATTTTTTTTGAAAAAAATAACTAGTTTCAAAAGGAGTTTGTTAAAATTCGGTTACCTTTCAGAAATAGATGGCTTTCTCTTGCTTGTGCATTTTCTCTCTGCTCTGTATGCTTTTCACCAACACAGCATATCATGGGCTGTCTGTCCATGATGCCCCAAATTAATAACAACAAAGAGATTCCGACATGTGGAAATGTTAATAATTAATTATTGTGAAGTATTATGTAACTTTTGTGTCAATGACATCAAAGTAAAGCAAACTTACTTATTCTATTTAAATTTACACTAAAACAAGTAAAATCTCATAAGCAGAATACACAGAAGACTCAGTCTTCACCATACTAAGTAACTATAATATGCTAATTTTATGATCTATGAAATTACAATTTTAAACATCTTCATTTCATCTATGTCTTATTAAAAGCCTTTATCATAATCACTAATTCTAATTTTAGGATTGACTTTCTCTTTCTGAATGGCTTCATAAGGGTTGGTGTGAATTTTGAAGACTTGGGGTACTAATGATAGTACCTTTGCTAGTCAACAAATCATGAAATATAATACTCACTGCTGGCGTCGGATGTGTCAGTAAGTACAGAAATAACTAAGACACAAGATAACCTTTGCAAACGTTCAAGCTGTGTAATATTCCAATGTTGGGTTTTTTTCCTTTGTATATATTAAATCATGTAGGATGTTGTAAAATCAGTATGACCTTGTCTAGTCTTCAGAGTTAAAATAAACTTTTGAAAATCTGGGATACTTTTGAAGCCGCTGTAATCAAACACATTTGTAAGAATGCACAAATTGTCTCAATGTGAATACCCATTACTCTTACCTACATGCTGGTTTACTTTTAACTTTGCACAGGAAAATTAAACAAGTACAGAACAAAAACAAACGTCAAAATCACAATAGCCTTCAAATATACATTGCTATCTGCTAAATTGGCCTTTCCCAAATTATTAAAATGTGTGCATTTCTCCGGCTCCTTTTAGCTGGGGAACATGTTATTAGAATACTGATAACCCAGAGTCGTGTTTTTTTGCCTCATGCATATTTAAAGTCTTGAGCTCCAGGACTGATCTGCCCGTTGTGAAGCCACTGCTGTTATTTCTATTGTTCTTTAAGTGCATGATTCTCAGGAGTATAATGGAGAGATTCAGTCAATAGTAAGCAGTACCACAAACACTAATATTTATCCATATAACGCCAGCTGCTGCTGAAAGAAAATCCTAACACTTGGCTTCTTCACAAACCCTGCTTCTTCCTCTCTGAAAGTCACTGGTAAAATATTCAGTCCATGTACGTCCCACATTTAGATATTTGCTTAACATTCAAAAAATTTAGGGAAGAGACTTGAGATATTAAATGCTGACTCCTGAGTTGAGGTTCAGTGAATCTCTGCTAGTTCTCAGACTAACTTCTTATTATATGTTTGTGTATTCGTACGTGTTTCTATTTAATTGCATTTTAATGTGAATGGTTCAGTGGGGTTCCATTTCTTGCCTACTTTTCCCACATACAAACCTATACAAATGTGTTTCTTATTAAATACAAGCAATTATACGTATTTTCCCAATAAGGCCAATAAAGAATTATGACATCTAAACGGGGTAAAAATTCATTATGATAGAAGAATTATTCAACAGAAACTTTTCAACTATGAGGCTTTTAAAATTACTAGTTCAAAATGTAAAAATAATAAAAATATTTCCAAGGAGGAAAGTCCGATCATGTTGAAATTTGATTTTAAAAATCTATTAAGAATAACTTCATGAATGGAAAATATTCTCTCTACATAATCTAAAATTTTAAAACATCTAGCACTTCAGCTTTGAATACATGATGTTTAATGCTGTGAGAAGTGCAATGCTCTCTCTTCCCAAACGCTAGTTGAAAATATTGTTAACAATGGAGTTAGTGTCTTATTTATTTGTGAAAAAATACTGCCACAAAAGTGTCTGTGAGATGCGAAAGTACCCTTTCACCCGAGCAGTTAAAATGGAGGATTAAACAACTCTGCTAGTTGAGAAGCAAGAGAAGGTGTTGTCATTTGTCTCTGCAAAGAAAGAACACCTGGTAGAGGTAGCATTTTTCTATTGGTTTTGAAAGAGGAAATGGGAGTCCTTGATTCTACTGCAGTAAGAGGCTATAATTCATACTAGATGTTTCCACATTGCCACCAAATAAAGTGCTTTCCACAGCAGGCAAGTGGCACTTGCTCACAGAGTTATTTCTATTAAATGAATTTGGTGGCAGAAATAGGAAAACATTTTTGGAAAAGGCTCCTCATTTGCTTGGTTTTGCATCTCTTGGCAGGAGCTGATGGAGTCATCTGAAACCACTAATGCTGTGGAAATACGGTAGAGTAGCACCAGCACATGGTCACATTACATGATTAAGCACTGCATATGGTCACTGTCTCTAATTTTATTTTAACGTCTTCAAAGGCATGAACTACACTTTCATACTTTCCCTATTTATGTAAAATCCCCATAGTGCTATTCATATGCCCACATATAAATGTATTAATGATGATCAATGGCTCAGAGGCTCAACCTGCTGCCACCTGGAAAAGAAGTAGTGCTACTGAGACTGATGGGGCGCATTCAAACAACACATCCCCCGCGGCCAGTACACAAACAGCTTTGTGATAACTTCCATAGGCATCAGGCCAAAACACTACAGAGGATTAACAAGACGACAACTGGGAGTAGGCAGCATGCCTATGACAGAGGAGTATTTTCAGGGATAAATGATTTAAATGACAAACATATTTACACATTTTATAATTTTCCCACTTTTTTGAAATGTAAAGAAAAAGAATAAAAAGGACTTGCCTTTCCAGAAGAGAACCATAGCAGGCTGGTGGCTCTGGCAGGGTTAATTAGCACTGTGCTTCCCAAGGCCCATGGCATTTTCCACCTGAACCTAGGAGAGAGGAATTGAACACAGAGGTTAAACATGGTATATCACAAAGGAAGCACTAAATAATCAACTCCAACAGTTTAACTTTCTCAGTTCTCAAGCTTCTTAGGTAATGGTATGGATTTTCTTTTTTTTTTTTTTAAGTAGAAGCAGCCTGCTATCATCTGAAGTTTATGTCTGCCCTACCCTCTGCCAAATTCATATGTGGAAATACTAACCCCTAAAGGTGATGGCAGAGTAGGTGGGGACTGTGGTACAGGGGATTAGGTCACAAGAGTAGAACCCTCATGAAAGGGATTAGGGCTCTTATATAAGAGCCACCACAGAGCTCCCCAGCCGCTTCCACTGAGTGAGACACTAGCCATGAACCTGGAAGCTGATCCTCATCAGAAAGCGACCATGCTGGTATCTTGAACTTGGACTTCCCAGCCTCCAGAACTGTGAGCAGTGAATTGCTGTTGCTGATACATTACCCAGTTTGTGGTATTTTGTTTTAGCAACCCTAATGAACTAAGACACATCCCTAGAAGGAATCTGTTACTAGTGGTATAAATAAGCTGCTTGGCATGTGGACTTTTAAACAATAGTAAAATCTTTTTCAACTTTACAGTGGAGAAAAATTAGTGGGTTAGGACTAGTTTATTTTCTTGATTAAATACATTAGGAGACGAGGGGAGGGGAGGAGAGAGGAAGGAAGGATTGAGTCCATTGTAAAAATTCTTCTGCAAAACATACTACATCAGTTATATTCCTGTGTATGTAAGTGTTCTTTATCACAGTGCTAATTATTTTTCTTACTTTGAGATAGCCATAAAAGTTTGAAAACCACTGCAGTATGGTCCCTGAACCTCTTTCTTAATGAGTGGCATCTCTTGGTTGCCAGGTATGCTGGGGGCTGATGCGAGTTTAGAGCCAGAATTGGATGGATCCTGTCAACAGGCTTTTAGGGGCTGGGTGGGGACAGAGGCGGCACATGGTGCTGGAGGCCTGAGAGATTTTTAAGAAAACAAAGAGATACTACACGGAGAATTGTGTGGATTTTTTCTCTGCGGTGGGCAAAGCCCTTTGTCCTCCTCGTAAAATATTCTAATAAAATAAATTTTTCCCTATTCCACTTCATTGTTTATTCTGCTAAGGAAGGTGCGAGTATGGCCTGAAGGTGGGTTTGCAGCATGAGCAGAGGCTGCCTGTGGGCACCTGGCACTTGAGTTTAAACATACAGATCCAAAAGTTGTTCTGTTTTTGCTTGTTTGTTTGAATAGACATTGATGAGTTTTTTTAAATAGATTTTTCTACAGTCACTTCTGATTTAAAAATTGATAATTTGATTCCCCCCACACCCTCATTCTAACCTTTTAAGCCAACCTTTCAGAACTCTTACTACTAATTCTTTGCTTGAGAGTTTTCCTACCTAAACCTGATATCATAAATGCCTCCAAATAGTAGCATTGGGCTGTAATTCAGGACCTATAAAATGTTGAAATGTTTTCACTTTCACTGGAGATATAAAAGCTAAATCCTTTCATAATTAACACTGTAGAAACTACTAAATGAAGATTAAGATTTAGATTAACCAACTCTTAAAAAATCATTCTCTGAGAAAAATTTCAAAATCTACACAAGCAAGGTTCTGGAAATACAAAAATGAAAAGACTCCAACTGTCATGAGATTGCATTCTGGGGGGTGGGAGTGGGCAGACAAGGAAGCCAAGGATCGTATTAGGTGCCGTGACAAAACTATGCTCAAAGTGCAAAGAGAACACAGAACACAAGCACTCACTCTAGTAAATGAAGTAGGTCAGGCAAGTTACCCTGGGGGAGGGGACATCTGAAATGACATCAAAATGGTCCAATTTAATATTTATGACCCCCAAAATCTCCAATTTACTATTCATGATAACTCTAGGAAGTAACTAACATCTCCTCTTTGGAAAACAAGAGAGGCTGAAAGAGGTTAGGAGATTTGCCCAAGTTGCAGAGCTCTGCTTTGTCCCTAGATTTGATTCCTCTCCATCCCGGTGTAATACCCATTTTCTTCTTTTAAGTCAAAGGAGGTGCTGAAAATGTTTCCTTACATACTAGTACATAAATTACCAACAGGAATGATATTCCTCCAGACAAGCAGTCATTGTTTATCCTGCAACTCCTCACACTGTCCTAAATAATTGCATAGACCAGTATTATCTAATAAGGTTTTGAAATAATTGGTTAACGGGCGAGGTGTTGATCACAAGACATATGAGGACAGGTCCTCAAAAGATGACGAACAGCTAATGAGCACCATGAGATATGTGATGGCATTAATTTTTTAAAAGGAGAATAATAAGCCCCAGCTGTCAAAGTATCTGCTATCCCACGACACAGTAAATGGCCTGTCCCCATGTGCAGAAGCATGAGATTGTTCATGGAAAAATCAAAAACATTTATATTTAAGAAAATTTGGAGAATAGCATTCACTCAGTTAAGAGAGGCCACAGATAGTTTCCATTTTTAAAACAATTTCCACATAACACCCAAAAAACAAGAACAAAAACCATGCCTTCTTGAGTTCTAGTTCCCAGTATTTAAGAGGTAACATGCTCTTGATTAGAAGGAAGCTGAGTAGTGAACAGTATCTTAGAAAATAAGGTACGTGTATTCACACGGTTTAAGGAACCAACTTAATAAATAGATGGCATTATCTTTTTCATTCCCTGGTGACTTTTCAATTAGTAGAATTAGAAGCTTAACCAGTGACTAATAACTCTGTGCAACCTCATGTAATCAGTAAATGAAATTCCTATAACTTGATTTAAATAGTCAATTCTCTGTCAGTTATTCATCAGTGAA